TACACATACATGCACACACACATTTTGAGAATTATAGATATGTATTATACCAGAGAGACCACAAACAATTTAAAAGTGAGTAGTTTTCCGTGATTTACGCTTATACTGTAAATTACTTTTACGAATCAACCACCCCCCCAAAAAAATATAGTCTCCAATCACGTTTTGGTCATACGATCTTTGGTAGCGGCGTTCAAATTCCAGTATGTCCTGTTGGAAGCGCTAGCCTTGTTCCTCTGAGTACGGCCCCATATTCTCATTGAATTTATCAAGATGAGAGTCAAGGATATGGACTTCGTGGTATTTTGCCGTAGTTCTTTACCAAGGTCTCAACAAGCTCCACATATTTTTCAGCCTTGTGTTTCCCCAGGAAGCCCCTAACCTGTCCCACACTGCTTTCTCCGTCCTAAAGATCTTATTAGGGATTTCCTTGCATTCTATGATCTCCTTTATTTGTAGTACAACGAAGACACTGGTTTTGACTTTTGCCACTGGCAGTTAAGGGAAGAAGTCTTGAAGGTATTTGAAGGATGTAGACTCCTTATCTAGAGCTGTGACAAATTGTTTCATAACGCCCAATTTTAAGTGCAGTGGAAGAAACAATACTTTCCTGGAGCCCAACAGTCGCCCCTATTTGACGTTGTTCCTAACCAGACTAAACTTGATCCGCTGTGACCAGCCCCGCCTGTGGTAGTGTGCCGCGGTAGTCCTGCTGCCCCAAAGGCAAAGCTAAACAAAAACTTTGTAAAGCCACCTTCGTGACCCATTAGGAAGGCCACCATTTTGCAATCTTCGATAACCTCTGAACTGTACTCTTCATATTTCAAGGCATCTAGCAAGATCTTGACACTACTGTATTCTTCTTTGAGCGAACCAGTTCACAAAAGCACAAAATCTGAATGGGAATAATGGTTATTCTCTTTGCTTTCTAGACAGAAGCAATTAGGAAATGACATTTAATTCCCAAAGACAAAAAAACTATTTTCAAAAGATGTCAAAAGCACTATAAGTATACGTATCAAAAGATGTCAAAAGCACAATAAGTATCCGTAACAAAAGATGTCAAAAAAGATGTCAAAAGCACTATAAGTATACGTCTCAAAAGATATCAAAAATGTCAAAAATACAATAAGTATACGTATCAAAACATCTCAAAAAGATGTCAAAAACATAATAAGTATACGTGTCAAAAGAGATGTCAAAAAGATGTCAAAAGCTCAATAAGTATACGTACCAAAAGATGGCAAAAAAGATGTCGAAAAGATGTCAAAAGCACAATAAGTATCCGTATCAAAAGATGTCAAAAGCACAATAAGTATATGTATCAAAATATGTCAAAAAAGATGTCAAAAAGATGTGAAAAGCTCAATAATTATGCGTATCAAAAGATGTCAAAAAGATGCCAAAAGCACAATAAGTACCTGTATCAAAAGAAATAAATAATTTTTGTTCTAATTATTTTTCTCACAGGATAATAGTGGATTAAACGTCGGTTCGTGATTTTGAGGACATAGTAATTGTGAGTTCAATCCCTGGGTCGGGCAGTGTGTACTTGAACTCAGTGGAAAGGAGCGATCAATAACTGAGTAGTACTGAAAATAAGAACCCGATGACATATCCTCCCTAGGCATGAGCAGAGTCTACCCAGTAGATTAAATAAAAAGGTTCAGTTCAGAATTCTCTCGAGGTTCACCAGGACGACTAAACACCTGATGAAGGCCGGAGAGCGCATCCACCGAAATGCTGTGATAACAACAACGATGAGAACGATAATCCGAATACAAATAGCGAAAATAAATTTTATCTTGTCACAATTTGAATTATTGAAAAGCAACAGCTATTAAAGAGGATTGGGAATGAGATAGGCTGAGCTGTACGTCATGACACGTCGGACGCAAGAAACTTTAAGATTTCACCTCAGTGCATAATAAAAACCGACGTTTGCGTTTATATCTTCCCGTTCCCAACATATGGATATAATCGCATCAATAAAAATGTTACTTTAGTCTGATTAACTCCTTTCAGAGGACGAAACGCGTTATGAAGAATTACTTAATATGGTTTTGATTTCTATGTTTTAATAAACTGATTAGATTTTTGAAAGACATATTTCGCTGTTCTTATACAACATCGGATTTCTCTGTCGATTTTTCTGTCATCCGTTGTTAAATTGTTCTACCCAAATAGGTTTTTCCTCATCGTAGAATTTCAGACAATAATTAATGATACAGGTTTGTATTGTCAAAATTATGTAGATTTTCTGAAAGAATTAGATCGTGATGATTTTAAAATTCTACTAACTACCACGTTTCAATGGCTGTTTTTTTTTCCTTGATGCCTAATGCATGGCCAAATTAAGAGCCTGCAGAAATTATTTAACAAATATTTTGTGTGTGTATGTGTGTATTAGTTTCCGAATCATTTTTCTATGAAAGTAAAGCGTGGAATCAAGTTGTCAAATATCGTTTTAAAGAAGTGTTTGTGGAAGTCTCCTAAGGCAAATAAAAGACTTAACATTAAATGTTAGCATGGCAACGTATTTCCTTCATGAAACTAAAGAAAATGACATTGTGTGCAAGTTAAAGCTATATGATAAAATATTTTGGAATACAACTTTCGAATATCATCAAAATTATTGTTTGTTTTTTGTTTTTTTGGTGTTTTTTTTGTGTGTTTTTTGCTTCGTTGTTGAGTGTTTGCCTAAAGTCATGTTTGATTAATTTTACATGCGCATTTTCTCTTCCTTCTTATAAAAAAGATTCCCTGTATCAGGCATGTGAAGTTCAGATATTACATAGCAATTCAACACCGTTTTCTCTGTTTCTAACGACATGTTCCTACCTCTTAATACTTTGCTTAGATTCTGAAAGTCATGAGATTATCCAGCATTCACTGCCATATATGAGATTACATATTACATATCAGTTCAGCAGTCTTTTCTTTGTTTCTAACATTTTCCTATCTCTTAATACTTTGCTTAGATTCTGAAAGCCATGCTATTATTCAGCATTATAGGAGCATCAGCATCATTATATTCAGCATCATTATATTCAGCATCATATAGGAGATTAAATATTACATAGCAGTTCAGCATTCTTTTCTTTGTTTCTAACGTCATTTTCCTATCTCTTAATCCTTTGCTTAGTTTCTGAAAGACATGAAGTATTGTAAAGCAGGCATTGCTATATAGGATATTATATATTAAATAGAAAATCAGTACCCTTTTCTTTGTTTCTAAGGACATTTTTATATCTCTTAATACATTGCTTACTTTTTGAAAGGCATGCAATTATCCAGCATTCACTGCCATATAACAGATTAGATATTACTTATCAGTTCAGCCCTCTTTGCTTTGTGATATGATTTAAATAACCTCTGAATATTGATTCTCTGTGTTTCGTACTTTCGTTCCTGAATTTTTCTGTTTACTAGTGTTATTTTCTGAAAGTTGAGATCACTTCCTGACTGAATTATATCTTCCTGTACTCAAAAGCACAATAAGTATACGTAACAAAAGATGTAAAAAGATGTCAAAAGCTCAATAAGTATACGTATCAAAAGATGGCAAAAAGATGTCGAAAAGATGTCAAAAGCATCAATTATGCCTTGGTTTCTGTTGGGGCGCACCCACCTTCTAACTAGTAATGGACTGGTCCCTCTTATATAAGTCAGCTCTGGAGAGAGAGTGACAGAGCGTCAGAGAGAGAGTCAGCGTGAGCAGTCCAGATAAGCTTACCCGGTACATACCGTTGGACTATAGACTTTGGATATTGTTTCGTACTAACCAACCTTCGTTCTACTAATCACTCTATTGTTAATTGCTTTTATGAATATACCAGTATTTTCCTCTACAACTGTGTTTGTCTTAATTCATACACCGACACGCGGGAAACTCACAACATCTCAACAGTTTCCCTTCATAATAAACAATGATTTTCGACTCATTGTATTAAGTGTAATTGCTAATATTTAAAAATTGCCAATCCACAGAAATCCGACGGCACTTTGGAATAGCGGAAGATACCTTCCGAAAGCTCAACAAAGTATGAAGAAACAGGAAAATCCAATTAAAAACAAAGAAGAGTGCTGAACTTCTATTAAATAATATCTATAATGTGTAAAAAAAAAATACTAGAGTTATATGCGTTGGTTTCAAGTCATATTTTAGCAATGATATTAATAAACTGTTTGGCAGCAAATTGTTATGAAGTCCAAAGATGTCAGCTTGAGCATCGGTTGTAATAACTATTCAAAATAATTTATTCTCAAAAGATCTCGACTTTTACACCACTGCATTACGTATGCATGCACTCCTCCCTTAACGATTTACCTGTTTGACAATACCCGTACTTTCAAGCTATAACTCATTTTTTTTTTTAATTCAAGTAGGACTTACGGTATTATCACGTTGAAAAAACATATTCCTGAACGATCACCGAAGCAACGTCGGCCATGGTCAACACCTACAAGGATGATCGTATGGGAACACAGATGGTGTAAGCTTAGATATACTGGTGGTATGAAAGGCTTACGTTAAGCAACGTTGAGCTTGGTTAGTACCTAAATGAGTAATCATATGGGAATAGAAGGTGGTGTAAGCTTGGATATGCAGATGGTATGAAAGGCTTACGTTAAGCAACGTTGAGCTTGGTCAGTACCTAAATGAGTGATCGTATGGGAATACCATGTGGTGTAAGCTTTGATATGCAGTTGGTATGAAAGGCTTACGGCCATATCGCGTTGAAATACAGGTTCCCGTACTATCGCAAAAGTTAAGCAATGTTAAGCTTGATCAGTACCTAAATGAGTGATCGCATGTGAATATCAGGTCGGCTATGTTGGTTGTATAAAGGCCTAACGGAAAATCACGTGGAAATACGGGTTCAAATGCCATCATCGAAGTTAAAAATATCAAGCCAGGCCAGTAGTATTCCCATATGAATGATCGTATGGGAATACAAGGTGTTGTATGCATGGATATACTGGTTGTATAAAGGGATTACGGCCATATCATGTTGTAATGCAGACTCCCTTACGATCACCGAAGTTAAGCAATGTTGTGCATGGTCAATACCAACATTGGTGATCGCATTGGAATACCAAGTGGTGTAAGCTTGGATATACTGATGGGATGAAAGGCTTACGGTCACGTCACGTTGAGACACTGGCTCCCGTACGATCACCGAAGTTAAGCAACGTTAACCCTGGTCAGTACCTAGATGGGTGACTACTTAGGAATACCAGATGCTGTAAGCTTGGATGTGCTGATTGTATAAAAGACTTACGGTCATGTCACGTTGAAACAACGGTTCTCGTACAATCACCGAAGTTAAGCAACGTTAACCCTGATCAGTACCTAGATGGGTGACCGCTTGGGCATACCAGGTTCTGTAAGTTTGGATGCGCGGGTGGGTTAATGGATAAAGGTTCGGAATTGTTAATCTGGGAGCTGAGTTCCTATTTCAGTTGGTTTCGTTATATTCACTTACGCGTAAATACCCTTGTTGGATGTGCCATCTTTTCACCCCCCCCACACACACACACACATTTATGGGTTAATTAGTAGGTCTTGTGGAGGCACGGTGAAGTAATGGATAGCGGCTCGGATTGAGGAATCGGAGAGCCGAATTCATCCAGTCGAATCCATTACGTTCACTTACGTACTAATACTCTTAGGAAAGGTATAAATCCTCTTCTTCTCCGTCCCCATCTATGGGTAAAAAGCAGGACAGACCGAGTTCTATAGCCTTGGATAGCAACTGGTCTACCTCAGAAAGAAATGGTTACCTCTTGCGGGAAAAAATCTGCCTCGTCAGTCATGAGGTCAGTGATAGTACCATTTCAGCGAAGTGGTCGACCCTGCTTTACCCAGGTGAACTAGGATGCGAAACTGTACTGGTCCGCACCTTACATCCAACTCTCACACAACACTAAGAAGTTGCCTGGGCACTGCGACGGCTACACCCAAGTCAACGAAACCGACCTGCCGGCTAAACAGTGTGAGGGTAGTCGGAACGGTTTCCCGATCAGACCGGTGAAGAGGAACGCCTCTCCCCAATCCACCTGTGCCAAGCGGTCATCGGTCAGTTGCCAGCCTGGGCGTAAGAGCTGCGCCTCAGACGTCAACGACTTTATTAATGGGCAGAGGAAATTCTGAGAGGATGGACGAGGTAACCTCAGTATCCCCGGTGCAAAAGGAACCGGCAAGCCATTGCACTATTTTGACTTGAAGGTTACTATGAACCATATTTACAACAATTATAGGGGGTGACTACAATGGCAGAAAATGCGCTTACTGAATAAAGGAGTGAAGGACTGTTCAGTATCCTACTGCAATTGCATAAATATTTAAAAACAAAACAGAAATGTTATAAGAGGTACAAAAACAGAATTATAACTATATGAAGGCCGGAGGGCAGAATGATAGAAGCCAGTTGGCGCAAACCCATTAGACGAGTCGTAGGCCTAAAATACAGGTACAACTTCTCGCTTAGCGTCGGGGGCGTTGGATGGAGCTTGTCGTTAAGTGAGAAATAGGTGTACTTATCACGACTGCCGACTTGTTCTAAGATTTTTTTTTATTTGCTCTATACAATAATACTAATAACGATCCACAGCTAAAATCGATCTTTTCATTTCTTATATATTCCGATCGTTATTGAAATGTTCATTTCAAGAATGTTGTTTATTTTCTGGAAGCGGTTGACATTTCCATTAAATCTCGAAATGTCATCTTAACAATGTTTAAATTCGGTATCTTGTTTCAATCAAAAATCGACAATCTATCAAACAAAATTTCAACCTTTCTCAACTGAATCGATTTCTTCTTTTTTTTTTTTTCTTTCTTTCTTTTTACCCGAAATTTCTCGGCGATATTTTTTTTTTTTTTTAATTAATCACAGACTGTCGTCTTTATTCCTGAGTGTCGCGAAATCTAAAAACATGCAATTTCAGCATTTGCTGTAATATAACTTTGAAATATGGCGCGAGACTTTGTAAACATCCCGAGAGTAGATATCACCGAAGCTTGCAACAGTTTGAAAAACCTGAAAAAATCATTTTATCCTCCCTCTCTCTTTCTCTCTCTCTCTCTCTCTATCTGTCATACCCTTTCATAATCATGGCTCTCCACAGCTTCCTGTATTTGTTGATTTCAAAGAAAGTTAATCTCATTTTGTGATATTCGTTTTCAATCCATTAGCCCAAGCTAAAAGTCTATCTCTCCTCTCTCCCTCTCTTTCTCACTATCTTTACGTCTTTTTATCTCTCTCTCTCTCTCTCTCTCTCTCTCTCTCTCTCTCTCAGTGGCATACTGCTTTCAGTAATTCTCCACAGCTTCCTCACTTTTCTTGCTGTCTTGTCAAGTAGGTTTTCGCTCTCGTTCTATGCGATATATCCCTATAAGAATTGAATGATCATGATTCTCCACAGCTTCCTCTCTTTTCTTGTTGTCCTCTTAAGTGAGGCTTTAACTCTCTTTCTCTTTCTATACGATATATCCCTATAAGAGTGGGTGATCATGATTCTCCACAGCTTCCTTCTTTTTCTTGCTGTCTTATCAAGTGGGTTTTCACTCTCTTTCTATGCAATATATCCCAACAAGAGTAGATGATCATGATTCTCCACAGCTTCCTCTCTTGTTGGCCTGTCAAGCGGATTTCTCTTTCTTTCTGACGCGTGTTAAAAAATTTTACTGATTAAAAATTGCTTTGAGCGAATGACGTCTGTACGGCTAACAGAGGACCTTCCTTCCTCGAACCAACAGGACTGGCGCTACAAAATCACAAAGAACTGTACCAAATAACAGGCACCATATCACTTGAAGACTTGAGAACAGAAGCAGCAACTGAAACGGATGACAGATATAATTCGAAGAGAAAATAATGACAGAATCAAGGTGTTGACGTTGGTTATTTCTTCAAAAGCCAAACCCCATTACTACTGGAATGAGCGATAACAGGTAGTGAACTTAAGAAACCTGTATTCCTAAAAAAATTGTTTTAAGAGAAAGATTTGAGAAATTTCAACTGGCGGTAGCACTGGCTGCTCGGTCAAAAATGTCAAATCTTTCTTCATAAGGAAGCAGCTAATATTACTATTAGAGATGAGAAGGACAGTTTCTACACCTTGATGACAACCGGTAGCCTGGTAGTGAAGAAAATTGCAATCCGAGTAGAACTGGCTCTCGGACAATGAATGATGAATGTTTCCTTATATGGAAACGACCATTACCATTTTAAGACATCTTTGTTATTTTCATTATTCACACGTGTTATGGTTCATCTTCCGGGACATTGATCATGTACAATAAGTGTGTAATAGCAATTAGTAGCGTAAAAAATAGAATTGTTTTGTTTGGGGGGGGTAAAAATGTTTTTTTGTAGAAATGAATGCAATTGTTTTTGTTTTTGAAAAAAATCCTTTATTTATTTATTTATTTTTTTAAACTCATCTAAACACGATATTTCCTGGTGTTTAATTTGGCACATGGAAAGAGAAGAGGAGGGTTGGGGAAGGGATCCAAAAATGAAATTTTGGAAAGGGAGTGGCGAGCATGCAAAGAGGGGGAATAAAATGAAATAATTTTCCAATGAAGAAATAATATAAACATAGAAAATATAATTCTAAGGAGAAAACTGCTTCTGTGAAATTACAGTTTTAAAAATTATAAATATTTTCTTTCCCAGATTATAGCTTTACGCCGAACGGTTACAAACGGTAATAATTACTATAAAAGATATTTCCAGATAATGAACAAAGAGTTTTTTTTTTTTTAATAGAAAATTTGAAGGTGATACCCGTGTAAAACGAAATCTTTCCAATTGTTAAATAATAGTTTTAGATTGTTATTTTTTAGTGGGAGTATATTTTGGCTCAGACCCCTCTAAGGCTGACCTTTAAGGTCAGATGTTAGACAAAATAGGGATGTCGATTTTGATTGGCTGAACCGAATGTGGGAATGTTAGAGAGATAGAAAGTGTTTACAGGAGTTAAGATTTTACACGTCATACACATTAAACGTGGTTATTCCGTGTCTCGGGGAACTTGCTCCCCCGTGGGGGTGATAGAGAGACCCCACTGGCTAGATAAAAATGTACACATCGACATGTTTAATAAAATAGATATGTTTTTAAAATCCCTTTGTCGATGTCTCTTTCATCTCTGGACTCTAAAAACATTTTGACATCCGGCGGGGAGAAGACGGTCGAGAGAGAAGAATACAACTTTGTTGTGGGATCGAACTCGTCAACCAAATGACCCCCCCTCCCCAGAAGAGAGAGAGAGAGTATGCAACACAATTATATAGACTCTAATTTGCATTTGAAAAATCTTTGAAGTGTCTTGATGATGTCATCCCAACCCCTAAGGCGAACACTGGAGATTTCAGCCGAATTCTTAGCCTCAAATGACAATCAATTCAGAAAGAAGAGGTGGTATTAAGATAAAATAAAATTGATTCTATTTTTCCGGGAAATTTTACCCTGAAAACATATTACAAGAAATAGAAGATATATTTGAGTTGTTGATTTGCTATACTGTTACAATAGCATATTAACTGTCCGTTATTTAATGCCGGAAAGATATTTTTAATTAAATATATGGCTTGTAAACAAACATTTGGTTTGTTAGTTCCATCACTCGCCAGTTATGCCTCTAGAAAAGAGTTATTTAGTCTTTTAATCTATAGTATAGACCAACCGCCTTCAAGGAGGCTAGGATAGACTCTACTTTTATCTTCTTGAAAATTAGTAAACTAGTAATGTCATAGAAATTATAGTATTACACCAAATCTACAATTCGTCCATGCTTTGAATATTGCTGCCATATCTGGTCTGGTGCCCCTGCCGTATATTTAGAGATCATTGATAAAATCGAAAGAAGAATCTGCAATATTATTGGTCCTAACCTGGGATGTCGGCTTATTGTCACTTTCTCATCGACGTAATGTAGCTTCCCTGTGCCTTGTTCTGATGAATGTTCCTCTATAGTACCCAGACTTTACGAATTTAAGCGCAGTACTAGATTGGCAGCATGGTCTCATCATTTTACAGTTGAAATGTCTAGATGTAACCGTAAGTTCTATGCTAACAGTTTCTTCTATTGCACTTCTCGCTTGTGGAACATTCTTCCGACTTTTTGCTTTCCACTCAAATGCAATGTCAATGGTTATCTTCTGCCTTCTTAATCCCGGTTCTTTTATTATTCTCGCTCCTTAATAATGTTTTTCTTTATCTTATATTCTGTCACACTCAGAAATCTATTTGCGGCTCAATGGCTTTATTGCCTTGCTTCGAGTGAAATGATTGATATAGCAGCTACAAAGATTTGCTGCCAAAGATTAATTCATATAACAGAAAAGACTGGTGTGTGTGTGTGTGTGTGTGTGTGTGTGT